GCTGCGCTGCGGCCCATCGAGCGCCGTAGCGCACACCTCGCAGCAACCCACGCCAGACTTGCGGGCATACGCTGAGGCCCCCTGGAGCCCTGGGTGCAGGGCGACGAAATCCTCACATATCCACTGCTCCCTGGCCAGGCCCGTCCTGAGCTCAGCAGCCGTGCACCTGCCCTTCTGGCCAATGCCAGGAGGGCGTCGCGCCCTCGCCGCTGCCAGGCGGAGGACGGGCGTGGCCAGGGAGCCAGTGGCCATGTGTACAGATCTCGGCGCCCTGAGCTGGGGCGGTGTGGCGTGCTTCTCGGTTTCTGCTCCACGGGAAGGGGGGACCTGGGGAAGGGTGGAGTGAGAGTGTGCGCGCGGCGTGTACAAGGCGTTCCTTTGCAAGCACGTCGTCTTCGGCACCGCCTGATTCCAGGGCTCTGCCCTCTCTTGGCCTTGTTGTGAGGCCCCTCCTTCTGCCTTCCCCCCTCTGTCAATGAAAGCTGTGCGCGGCCAGCTTAGCTTCGACCGGAAGAGGTGCGCTCTCGACCCGCGAATCAAAAAAAGTGTGCGCGCGGCAGATTCGCGCCGTGCCGACGGGGGTGGCCACCGCCGGCGCCGGGCACTCCAGGCCGAGCGCCGCCGCCGGCCCGACGTCGGCCGGCACCGAGCGACCCTGCGCGGTGGCACGGCCGCGGCTGCGAAGCGCTCCGCGGCCGACGCCGACGGCGGGAGCCGACGCCGATGGCCCTCACGGCGCGAGTCCGCGCGTCTCCGCCTTCGCGGCCAGCGCCTCTCCCGCTCGGCCAGCGCCCCCCGGCCCGCCAGCACCGCTCCGAGAGCGCATCCGCGGCCGGATACTCGCCGAGGACGTGGTGGAGCCGAAGACGGGAGAGGCCGCCCTGGAGGGGGGCCGGCAGGCGTCGCTGCCATCCGTCGCCGTCTGCTTGCTTCTCGCGTCCTCGCCCTCTCCTCCTCCTCCTCCTCCGCCTCCTCCTCCTCCGCCTCCTCCTCCTCCTCCTCGTTCTCCTCCTGCTCCTGCTCCTCCTCCTCCTCCTCCTCGTCCTCCTCCTCCTCGGGGGCTCAAGAGACGGGGGTCAAGGCAAAGGGGGGTCAGTCAGAGCGCCGGATCTTGCAGGATTCTGCAGAGCCAGGGTTGCTATTGACCTGGGCTTGGGTGCTGGCTGGATCCTGCACGGGCTGACTGACCCTGGTTTGGCTTGACCTGGGCCAGTGGATGATCCCCGAGGAGTCGGCGGCAGTGCGCGCCAGAATCCCTGTGGATCGGCCCGTTCCTCTGATTTGTGCTCAGGGTGTCCTTGCCGGTGCAGGACCCCGCTGGTGCATGGCCGCGCAGACACGGTGCTGCCGCGAGGAGCGCCGAGTCAGGAGCGAAGGGGCTCCTCCTGGCCACGGCGAGCCTCGTCCACGAGCAGGTTCCCCCGACCCAGACGTGAAGGCACGGCTGGGAAGCCGGAGCCCCTCGTGGGCCCAAGGTGGTCCTGGTTCCAGCGTCTTGAAGTTGTGGCCGGCACAGTCGAAACGGGGAGGCAGAGAGAGCGGGGACGAACCATTACCAGCGGCAGCTCTGAAGCTTGCCGGCGGTGTCGCCGCAGACGTTGTGCTCATTTCGGTCGAACGTGGCCTGCCCAACGAAGGCCGCTGTCGGTTTTGGACGACATTTTGCACGTGGGCATCGTCTCCATTTCCCAGTCCCTCACTCAGGCGTGCCAATATATCCCCGCCGTCCACTGCACTTCCTTTCCTCGTTCCTCTCCTTCCACACCCTCCCCTCCTCCCACCTCTGCTCTCTCCCTCCTGCTCCCGCTCTCGTCATCCATCTTTCTCCCTGAGGAGCGATGTCAAGGGCGCCTGATCGTTTCGCGCCTGTGTGAAAAGGTCAGTTCTGAGGTGACCAGCAGAGCCCTTGACGAGGTGTGGAGTGGCCTTCCACCATCTGCCCTCGGAGTGTCCCCCCGACGTGGACGGTTCAGCATCCCCTGTCCGCCGACCTGATCATCCTGCGAGGGCGGAAAGCGTCGGCGTTGCGGCACGACGGGCAGTCGTTATTCACCAGCCGATTTTGTATGCGAGTTACGTACCATGGAGTCAGGGGGGGATAACTCTCCCTGAGTGAGCCTTCTGGATCTGCTTCACCTTCGCATTACTCCCCACCCGCATCGCCGCCCGAGGTCATGTACGAGAAGGGCCACCTGCTGAAGGTCTCAGAATCGCAACATGTAGGCGCGTGGCCGCCTGCTCTCGTGGCGCGCACAAGCGGATGGTGCGGGGGGACCGGCCTTATAAGAAGGCGGGGAGCTTTAAAACAAGGCTAGGATCGGGATAAATCGCTCCAGAGCGTTCCGGAGCGCTCTCAGAGCGTTCCGGAACGCTCTGGAGCGGCCGCGGCGCCCAGTACATCCTCCAAACCCGCCGATTCTCAGAGATTTCGAGTTATCCCGATCCGATTTTGTCCCGATCTTCGCGTCGTTTTAAGCTTCTGAGAAGGCTTCCTCGAAGCCCTCCGGGCTTCCAAGAAGCCTTGCTGCCAGGCCCCTCCACGGCCGCCCCCCTCGCGCTAACCGCCCTGTGCGCCCCGCCAGCTGCGCTCTGCGCAGAGTCGGCCCGCACAGGAAGGAGGGGCAATTTTCCCACGGGTATCCTCTCGGAAGCCTGGAAGTGGGCACCAACACCAGCACGAGGGGGCTGCCTCCACAGGGGGAAGATGATCCTAGATTTCGATGTTGGCGGTAATGTGTCGGTCACCTTGGCAGCCAGAATAGTACCACCATCACCGAGATCGGGATCCTCTTCCCTCGGTAGAGGCGCACCGCCGATATTTGTGTTGGTGTCAACCTCCAGGCCTGTCATCCTCGCATCCTCGCCTCCTCGGTCCATCCTTGGCCTCTCGATTGGCCGCGCCCCGCCCGACAAGCCTCGACACGGCCCTCCGAGGCCCTTGCGTCCTTACGCCGTGCGCCCTCCTGAGGCGGGCTGCCTGCACCCCGCGCGCTGGGAGCCCGCGGGGCCCTCCTCGTGGCGCCCGCATCGCAGCGCGGGGGTCGTTCGGAGGACGACAGGATGGGCCCGGAGTGCCCTGGAGAGGTTCGTTCCGGATTTCGAGGTGCATCTCGCGCGGAAATCTTTTCTGGCCAGGACTGAAGACTCACAAGCATCCACGCGAAGTTCACGCCGTTCTTCGCGCGCCGCTTCGGGGAAGAAAGCCACGCAGAAATCCGCGCAGAGATCCGCTGCAGCACGTCTGCAAGGTCGGTGCAATGATCAGGGGCGGCCTAACCGATGCTCACGTCGGGCTCCAGGGGCCGATCTCCGGGCCCTGGAGCTGCACCGCCACCCTTGCGGCGGGAGGTCCCGAACTGCACGGCTGCGACGGAGGCCACGCGCGGAGGGGAGTGGGGGGAGGGGGGAGGGTTTCTTAGAAGCACCCCTGCTTCTTAGAAGGCGCGGGCCTTCTCTATAGATGTAAGGCCGGCGCCTTCTAAGAAGCAGCCTCCTTCTAAGAAGCCCTCCCCCCTCCCCCCACCCCCTTGTGCGCGCCGCCAAGGAGGGCCACGCGGGGGGGCCATGACGGGTGGCAGCGAGGGGAGGGGGGACAAACGAGGGGGGGGGGGGCAGCGACGCCGGGCAGCGCCGAGTCGCCGACCTCGTCGGCCTGGGGCAGGGGGCAGGGATCGGGGGGCAACGGCGGGCCACCGACCTCGGGGGCCGAGCTCCCTGCACTGGGCGTTCGACAACACGAGTGTAGACTTCAGTCGGGCGTGCCCCTCCACAGGGAGAAGTATTTCAAGGATAGTGAAGCAATAGTCAGGTGACGATTTTGTTTGTGCTCCTTTGACTATTTTTGTTTTTTTGTGTTGTTGAGTACTTCTTATGTTTCTTCCAAAATCCGCCTGTCGGAGGACATGCCCGACCTGAGTATTGTCACCAGACAGACAAGCTGTTTTGGGGAAGCCAGTGATCCAGGACGAGGCACCAGTCTTTGGGACATGCTCGAGAGGTCTGGGGACCCCGTGCTGAAGAATCGATACGTCGGAGCCCTGGGGGTGTCACGTAAACCCGCGGCTTGTGTTCCCAGCCACAAGAAGTATACACAGACACCCTGCACTGGATTGTTCCTGGGCCTCAGGTGAGGGTGGTGGTGCATAAATCACCACTGAGAGCCAGCGACTTTTACACCGTCCCCTCCCTGAAGCTACATGCGAAGTTCGTCGGAGGGTGCCTGTGTATGAATTTTCGTGGCGCAGTGCTTTCGCTCCTGAGATGCTGGTTGAGTTGAGGCGTACTCGCGCCCTCCTGCTCACGTTGTACTGCGCTGGGCTATCGCTAGCGGGCTACCGCACGCTGTAGCTACCTGTTGCCGGCAACGTACTGCGTCGTACGCGCTATAGTGCTAGCTGCGGTGTATCCTGCGGCCGATCCGATTCGATTTCGACACCGTGCCGAGGCAGCCTGTTCCGACGCTCAGTCCGATTCGATTCGAATTCTCGACTCGATGCTGACTGATCCTGCCCTCCTTCCTCATCCTCTCTCTGCTTCTATGCAGCTCAGCTGCTCGCTGAGGTAGCCTGGGAATGTACACGTGTCCCCGACGGTATTGTTCGGATGGATGGTCACACTCGTATGTCGGGTGGGGTCTGGCTCGAGGCATGCAGCAGGGCCGAGCTCGCGAAGCGTGGCTCGTTGGGGGAGGTTTTTTTTTTCTTGTCCCTCCAGGCTCCCTGCGTGTCCCTTCTGGTAGCCAACACGGTCGCAGCATCCGTAACTCCCCAGCTCCTCTTCCTCCCGTTCCTCCCTTCAGCCTCGCCCGTGCCTCCCCTCGCAACCGACCGCCATCTCGTCCTCGCCCCCACAGCCGTCACCACCGCCCCGCCCCCTACTCTCTTTGCAATCGGCTGGCGGCTTTCGCGCACTCTCTCCCCGCCGCCCCTTCTGCCCCCACTTCCGCAGACAAAGTGTGGAAGACGTACGACCAAGAGGGGCTCGACCTCCCGCCGATCATG